ACATGTCAAAAGCTCACTCCCCATAATTTCTATCCCTTTATTTTATTCTGCTGATGCATATTTTTGCACATAACCTGTTACCTTTTTGTTGTTTTGCACATTGCCTGTTGTTGTTTTTTGCACACTGCCTGTTGTCTCTGTCTTTCTTTTGCTACACAATTGTATTGTTGTTGTTGTTTTTTTTTCTCTTTGTACTACTTATGCCCAAGAGCTAGCTAAATAGCATTCCGTTATACCATATACCATGTATATGAGTGTAATAACAATAAACTTGAAACTTGAACTTGAACTTGAAAAAAGGTGTGCGGCTAACCTGAGACATTTTGAACAAGTTTGCAAACAAGAAGGGGCAAAAATCACAGAGTCCAAATGTGAAAATCTGGTAAAAACTTATTGAAGAAGACCTACTGTGGATCATCCAGGTGGATGCTGCACAATGGTGGTGGAGGCAGGGAGTCCCCATTACCTTTAAAGCGCTTTGAGGGGAGTGTCCAGAAAAGCGCTATATAAGTGTAAGCAATTATTATTATTAATTATACTGTATGGCTGTAATTTCCGCCAAAGGTGCCTCTACCACATATTGTTTGAAAGGAGGTGAATACTTCCATTTAAAATTTAGGAGGATCTGTAGAATTTTGTTTTCACTTTGACATTGTTTTGACAATGTCAACAAAATTGTTTCCTGTCAGTCAATAGCAAAAACTACAATTTGATTCCATTTTGTAACACAATAAAATGTAAAAAAAATCCAAGGGGGTGAATATTTTTTATATCCACTGTGTATACAACATGTATAATATATTAATGAATGAATATTTTTAATGACTTTAAGAGACGTTAATATACTTTGATTTTTATTTTCAGCTACCAAAGTATATATTTAGTTACATAATTTCATATTAATATTCCATTTAATTTGGATTTAAAGAAATACAGTAAGGAAAACAGATCGAATGAAGCATTATTTATTTACTAACATCAAACAGACTAGAAGTGCCACCCATTGATCATCTTTGGCCAGTGAATCACACACTTGAAATGCACTGTGGTATGTTGCAACCACTTTAATGCAGCAATTCTGAGTTATGAGTGGCTGCATCTGTATGTCCAAAAATATGAGATTGCCATTCCTTTCTGTAAAATGATTACCTACAGATGCAGCCATTCAAAGTGCGCGGTACAGACACGTACCGCAGGTAATTGGCTGCGGTATCGCGTATCATGACGCATTATGACGCAGTTCGTGATTGGTTGACCGACAGGGGCACTCGTGGTCCGTTGGTCTGTCGTAGAAAGACTTACTGTCTACTGTAAACGTCTTTACTGTGCCCGTTGTAGATATTGAATTTTACCACTGAAGGAAAATCTT